CTCTCCCTCTCTTTCTCGAATAACGATACTTCTTCGTTTAACCCATGTCGAAGGACGAGAATTGACGAACGAAGAGATTATTATTAATCGTCCCGTGACAACAGCTCGTTCGTTCTCGATTAAATAAACGTGAAATAGAAGGAGAACACGGCGATGCTGTTTTTCTATCTCGACAAGGAAGTAGCCGCTCGACGACGACGACGACGACGAGGACGACGACGACGACGAGGAGGACGAAGACGACGATCATAACCGCACGCTCGGCAAGCTCGCGATAGACTCGCTACTCCCACCGAGCGTTTCTATCCGCTCTCTGCCACCTCTCTTTCTCACTTACTCACTCCCTAAGTCATCCCCCCTCTCTCTCGCTTTCTCTCTCTCTCTCTCTCTCTCTCTCTTTCTCTCTCTGTCTTTCTCTCGCGCTAGCAACACCGGAGCGCCGGTAGGCATATACACCGCGCGCTCTACCACCTATTCTTTCCCTCTCTTTCTCTCTCTCTCTCTATATATCTCTTTCTTTCTTTCTCTCGCACTTTTTCTATTTTCTTTCCTCTACTAATGTATACATCCGTTTCTTTCTATTTCTCAGAGTACACGACGTACAACTAACTATTATACGTAAGTATGCTATTGTATGTGTGTGTGTGTATACGTGTGTGTGTGTGTATTTCTTTCAATGTCGTGAGTTTGTATCCGTCTTTCTCACTCCTAACTCCCACTCGCTCTTCTCTGTTTCCCTCCTTCACTGAACTCCTTTCTAGAGGAAGAGAGAGAGAGAGAAAGAGAGAGAAAAAGAGAGAGGGACAGAGAATATGACGACGTGACTTCACGCAAGTCACGACACACAACGAAGCTTCTTCGTTCGAAGAAGAAAGAGAAAAAAACATACGTGTAGGCGGACATTCACTCTCTCTCTCTCTCTCTCTCTCTCTCTCTCTCTCTCTCTTTCTCTCTCTCTCTCTCTCTATCTATCTATCTCTCTCTCTCTCTCTCTATCTATCTATCTCTATTTCTCTGTTATCTCTCTTGGTTCAATATGTGCAGGAAGAGAGAAAGAGAGAGAGAGAGGGAGGGAGAGAGAGAGAGAGAGAGAGAGAGAAATAAAAAAGTATCTCTTTGTGTACGTCCGGACCGGCTGACGAACAATGACTGACGGACAGAGCTTTCCCCCTCCTTTTTCACTCATTCTCTCGCTTTCTTTCTCTCTCTCTCTCCAACCTCCCACTACGCTTCCATGTCTCTCTTTCTCTCTCACTCCTTTCTTTAACTACGATACACGAGAGCTACCTTGATTACCTGCTAGCGACTACCGATGTGAGGCAACCTTTCGAGCCTCGACCAATGGAGGACGATCGAATTTATGAAGTCTAGTTAATAAACTTCCGCGATTTCGTCGATCTTTCTGTTGTCCCTTTTCTTTTTGATTTTTGTTCTCTCTCTCTCTCTCTCTCTCTCTCTCTCTCTCTCTTTCTCTCTTCTTCCTCTCTTTTTTATCTAATTGTATAATTGAAAAAATAAGAAACATATTTTTCCTCTCGAAAATTTCATTCTTTTCGGACTCCTTTTTTATAACTTATGAAAAAATAGTATTGAAAAGAGAATACGTAATATGTATTAAAACTTTTTCTTCCCTTTAAAATGTGAGATTCATTTTAAAAATAACATTTACGCAGAAAAAACACGCACACATCTATTAAAAAAAAAAAAAAGAAGAAGAAAAAAAAAAAGAAAAGAAAACGAGAGAAAAGAAAGAAAAGAAAAGAAAGAAAAAAGAAAAAACAAAGACCGCCAAGAATTTTTCAAAAACTTTTATATATTGCATAAGTACCGTTAAATATTTGATTATCTATTGTAAATAAGAGGTGGTTATTATATTTGCGATAAAATATGCAGTACCTACGTAATATAAATGACATAACCCTGACATTTAATTAATTTATATTGATCATAACACTCATACATACATACATACATATATATATATATATATATATATATATATATATATACACATATCTATTTAACATGTAATTTCGACTATACTAGTCTATTAATTTCGAAATATACTAGCCCAATTTAATTAATAAAAATTATTGACGAAAAAAGAAAAGAAAAAAGAAAAAAAAGAAAAAAGAAAAGAAAAAAGAAAGAAGCAAAAGTGTTATTCAAATTGGCCGAACGTATATATTTAAATATTCATTTCTCCGTTGTATGTAAAGTGTACATATGTATGTACGTACCTATGTATAGATATTATCCGTGTGTGCGTGTTTTAAACAGCAAATTCTATTCGCGTGATTGGCGAATCTCCAGGAGGTCAGGAAAACTATGTCAACCGGCGCTCGAGTTTTCCGTTCATTTGCTTCTCCTCCTCCTCCTCCTCTTTCTCATCCTCATCCTCGTCCTCATCCTCCACCACCACCTCCTCCTCTTCCTCCACCTTCTCCCTACACTATAGCCTCCTCTTTCCACCCTTCTCCCCTCTGTTACCATCAACCCTTCCGAGATGCTAATTACGGTAAGCCAATTACAAGCGCATCCTCAGCTCGTCGATTGGAAGCGCAAGTGGGTAATGGTGTAATCAGAACGAGCTCCGAGAGATCCAATCTTCATTTTGCCAATCTTGTTCAATCTTTTTGTTTTATTTTCTTATTCTTTCTTTCTTTCCTTCTTTTTTTTTGTTGTATTTTCTCTCTCTCTCTCTCTCTCTCCCACTTTTTTTTCTTTTAGTTAATTGTTACCACGTCTCGGAAAATAGATTTACGTTTTTCCCGGAGACACGATGAATTTCTTCGAATGCAAAAGTACATTAGATGGATGGATGGATGGATGGATGGATAGATAGATAGATAGATAGATAGATAGATAGATAGATAGATAGATAGATAGATAGATAGATAGATAGATACATACATATATACATATGTTTCTCGATAACGGATCTCTCGCTTACGGTTAAGTTCCCTACAACTTAAAATGCTATTACCAAGAGCGAGACTTTAATCTCCTTGACTAATATTCCAAGCCGTTAGGTCTTTCCCCGGAATTTCTCTTGTCGAAAATTGCATGAAATTGGGTATACTACGTGTAATTTTCATCGATTAGATCATAATGGTTTCACCTTCTAACTGTTTTTGTATGTTTTCTATGAAAAGAAGCAACAATGAAAGCAAAAAAGAAAGAAGAACAAAACAGCAGAATTTTCAATCGTCTAATTGTTCAATCAAAGTGGGGACTATAATAGGAATTTAATTCTTCTATAAATCAATTTTTCTTTCGTGTTTATAAAAAATTTATGTATATTTAATTATAAAAACTATGGTATATTACTTCTATTATTATAATTATATTATACTGATAAAATAAAAATTATGGTATTAGTTATAATAAGTATAATATACTTATTGTTGGTATAGTATAATTACTTAACATAATCACATAATACCAATAAAAATACTATAGTACTATAAAAAAGTACTATAAAAATTATAGTACCTACTATAATATCCTATCATATTAAATATTTATACGATGTATTATATTGTATATTAATTACACTATACTAATTGTAAGTGTAACTTATATTTACCATTAGTATAGTATAAGTGTAGTGTATAAATGAATCAGTATATAAGTTATATTTATTATAATGCATAATTATATTATTATAAGTAATATTTATATAATATTAAATATTTCAGATATGAACTAAAAACAATGAATTTTTTAATAAGTAATAATAATGTATAAAACAATATTACGTGGTAAATATATGTTAACAATTCAGAGATCAAATTTTCTTTTAAAAAAGAAAGAAAAAAAAATAAAGAAAAAAGTACATAAATTTAAGAGATAATAAAGAATTCATTATGATAATCAAAGAAACTTTGAACGACTCGATCTTTCATATATATATATATATATATATATTTTTTTTTTTTTTGTTGTTGTTGTTAATCGAGAGAAAGAAAAAAGCTTATCAAGACATGCTCTCCCGCGTGCGTTTTCCGTTCCCCGGTTGGCAGGGCAAACAACGTTTCTCATAATTTACAACGTTATCTCGCGTTTAAGGCGACCACGCACGACGACGATGACGACGATGACGAGGACGACGATGATTACGTTTTTGCAACATGAAAATTTTGAAATCGCTAAAGCACGTGGTATAAAGAAAAATATTTTTTCTCTCCTACATAAATATATGCATAGATGCATAGATACATAGATACGTACGATAAATGCACAAATAGATACATACATATATATCTGGATACATACATGACACGTAATATATATTTAACCCGAGAATGAATTTATAGAAAATGTAAAAGTAAATAAAAAATAAATTCGATTTTCGTCTCGCTAATTAATTTTGATTCAGACGTGCGTATATTTCGTCGTAAATAAGATATTATATTTATTATAGATGCAAAAAAAAAAAAAGAAAAAAAAAGAAGAAAAAGAAGAATAATTTAATTAATTATGTACGATTAATGTTTAGTCGTAAATATAACATTATTATTTATTATCAATGTGAAATAAATAATTAAATTGATTATCATCTATTATTATTCCCGTCGTAAATAACTAAATGTCGTAAATACTTATATATTAAACTTTTTAAACAATTATTTTTCTTATTAAATGTTTTTCCTTTAAAAGTTTTTCTTTCTTTCTTTCTTTCTTTCTCTTCATGAATTTGAATGAACTTCTTTGATCTTTCCGACGTTAATGCCATTGTCCTTCGACAATAATAAAAGTCGATCGATAATAAGAACGATTGATCAAAATATCAATGAATTATCAGATATAGAGATATCGTTTCTACATCGGTAAAGAAAGAGATAACCTTTTTCATTTTTTTCTTTTTCTTTTTTTTTTTTTTTTCTTATATCGAAAAGGAAAAAAGAAAAAATTGATCTCTCTACATTATAACTATATCATTTTATTTTCACTTAAGAAAACAGTAATATATTACATTAGATAGGAATACGATGATAAAGAAATAGGTTTCGAGTTTTTGAAATTCATTTAGAATAGAACAAAAACATTATAGGGTATAAGTACTTGTATAGAAAAAGATAAGGAAAGTGGGCGATAAGATTCATGAAACCTTTCTAATGTAGTATACATACTTATTTCTAAAAAGGAACTCTCATACTATACATATACAAAACTATAGACTTATCAACGAAAGCTTTTGTTACAGCAAGTATACGTATGTATAACAAAGGCTTAATTTATATTTTATTTTTTTTTCACTCACTAATATATATATATATATATATATATATATATATATATAAAGTAAGCATTATACTATATACTGCTGTATTATACTATATATACATATATGCATATACGGTTAGTAAAAAAAAAAAAAAAAAATATGCAAGCAAGGATTATATTTTATATATATACATACACGCACATATCCTATGCACTACAATATATATAATATATTATATTATAATATATTAAAAAATAAAATATATATATATATATATATATATACATAAAATACAAAATACAATAATACTATATACTGTATTATACTATAATTTACTATAATATACATACATATACGTATATACGAATAACAAAAAAAAAAAAAAGAAAATGGAAAGAAAAAAAAAGAATGTAAAAGTAAGCATTTGTTCAGAAAAATAGTGTCGCATCCGGTTGAGTTCAACGACAAATGTTTACCGATTACCTTTTTACCCCCTGGCTGCACCTGAACCGACAGATAAAGCAAGTATTGTTTGCAATTAGCA